GTAGAGAGAGAGAGGCACAGGGAGGTAGAGAGAGAGGCACAGGGAGGAAGAGAAAGGCACAGGGAGGTAGAGAAAGAGAGGCACAGGGAGGTAGAGAGAGGCACAGGGAGGTAGAGAGAGAGAGGCACAGGGCGTCAGAAAGACAGAGATATGGGACAATGGAGAGTTGGAAGCACAGTAACAGATAACAAGAGGGAGATAGAGAGGGAATGGGGCTCTAAAAGAAGAAGGGACAGAGACAGTGATGGAAGGGCAAAGCTAGTGTGAGAGAGGAGCACAGGGCTGTGTGATGAAGGATGTAGAAGGAGAGGGAAAGGATAGAGACACAGAAGGGCATGAAGACATATGGTGGATGAGAGAAAGGGGAGCAGGAAGCAGAAGAAAAACAAAAATACATTGAAAGAGAGAGTTACTGAACATCAGATGGACAGAGAGAAAGAAACACACACAATAAATGAGAAAGACACAGAGACAAAGACAGAGAGAGAGAGAGAGAGGACCATGACAAAATAAGTGAGTGAGAAGGGATGGAAGAGATGGCCAGGCAGTGGCATTGTAAACTCGTAATCAGCTCATGATTTGGAGTCTGAACGTGGCCGATGGTGAAATTTGATTTTAAAAAAAATCTGGAATGAGAAAGGAGTCTAATGGTAACTAAGTAGCCATTGTTGTAAAGACCCATTTGTTTCTCATGTCCCTTAGAGAAGGAAATGAGCCATCCTTAACTAGTCAGGCCTACATGTGACTCCAGACCCACAGCAATGTGCTTGACTCTCACCTGTGCTAAGGATGGGCAATAAATGCTGACCTTGCCGGTGATGCCCACATCACATGGGCTAAAAAAGATGTGGGATAGGTAGAAGCAGAAATGAGAGGGGAAATGACAGCCTAGAGTGAAAGGAAGATAGAAAAAGGAGGTTTGGGCAGTTAGAGAAACTTGAGGGTGCAGAGATAATGAAGAACCCAGAGCTTTAAAAACTTCCGAGAGTTTTTACTCCCACCTGTTGCTCAGGCGGTACTCACTTTCAGCCAGGTCTGTTTGCGCTTACTCTCTGGCCCTCGGATATGGGGAAGGAGCTGAGATACCAACACGGGACACAAGTCCTCCATCACCATGTTACTCAGGATCTGGGGAGAGGTGAAATAACAAATTGACAAATGGAATGAGTGTCACGTTGAGTCAGCTTACTCTCTGCTGCCCTACACTGAAGTTGGACAAGCCATTTGGTGTAACGGTATGCCGAGCAGGACGCAGTGAGGTGTTCTGGGATCTGTTTGCCTGCTCGAGACTGCCTTGCGAAGTAGTTCATAGAGTCATAGAAATGTGCAGCATGGAAACAGACCCTTCAGCCCAACCCATCCATGCCAACCACATATCCTAAACTGATCCAGTCCCATTTGCCAGCATTTGGCCCATAGCCCTCTAAACCCTTCCTATTCATATACCCATCCAGATGCCTTTTAAATGTTGTAATTGTACCCACCTGCACAACAGCTCATTCTATACATGCACAACCCTCTGCATGAAAAGGTAACCCCTTAGGTCCTTTTTGAATCTTTCCCCTCTCACCTTAAACCTATGCCCTCTAGTTTTGGACTAGCCCACCCTGGGGAAAAAGACCTTGTCTATTCACCCTATCCATGCCCCTCATGATTTTATAAACTTCTATAAGGTCACCCCTTGGCCTCTGATACTGCAGGGAAAATAGCCCCAGCCTATTCAGCCTCTCCCTATAGCTCAAACCCTCCAACCCTTGTAAATCTTTTCTGCACCCTCTCAGGTTTAATAACATTCTTCTTATAGAAGGGCAACCAGATTTGATGCAGTATTCTAAAAGTGGCCTAACCAATGTCCTATACAGCTGCAACATGACCTCCCAGCTCCTGTACTCAATGCACTGATCAATAAAATGCCAAACGCCTTCTTCAATATCCTATCTACTTGGGACTCCACTTTCAAGGAATTATGATCCTGCACTCTTTGTGCTGCAACACTCCCCAAGACCTTACCATTAAGTGTATAAGTCTTGCCCTGATTTGCCTTTCCAAAATGCAACACCTCACGTTTATCTAAACTAAACTCCATCTGCCTCTCGTCGGCCCATTGGCCCATCTGATCAAGATCCTGTTGTACTCTGAGGTAACCTTCTTCGCTGTCCACTACACCTCCAATTTTGATGTCATTTGCAAACTTAGTAACCACACTTTCTATGTTTACATCCAAATAATTTGTATAATTGACAGAAAGCAGTGGACCCAGCACCAATGCTTGTGGCACATCGCTAAACTCAGGCCTCACACAAGAGGCCCTGCAAGGCAAAACAGCTCATGTATTTTCTGCATAAGTTATATTTACAGACTCCTTCTCTTAGATAGGCTCTAAAGAAAGTTAAAGACCTAGCCCATTGAGTTGACAGTGGAGTGTCACCTATTGAACACAAATATCATCACAGGTCATTGAGCCAGTGAACTTAACCAGCTCTTTGGTCACTGAAAACAAAAAAAAAGCTGGAAATCACAGTAGGTCAGGCAGCATCCATGGAGACAGAGCAGGCTAACGTTTTAAGTCCAGATGATCTTTGGTCACTACTCGTTGGAGCTGTTTCGTGTGAACTGGAGATGAAGGCATTATGGCAATGTCACTGGGTTTGCAATCTAGAACTGCAGGCTAACATTTTAGATTTAATGGTTCATATCCCACTGTGGCAGATGGTTGACAAAATAATTTCAGAAGAGACCAGTATCCCATCATCAAATCACCCTTTATTTATGTGTGGAGAGTACTTGACACTGATCCAGCTCCCTCAGGGCCAGCTCTCAGAATGAATAGAACCTCTGACACTCCTGTTACTTTTATTAATTTATGTCCATTAAGTATTGGTGCAACTTCCTCACACCAAAGATGACCGCCAAACCATCCTTCTCTATCTGGGTGTGTTTTCGCTCCGCATTAGCCAAAGTCTCAGAAGTATACGGTAACAGGTGTTCCTCTCTGCTGGGTCCCTAGAGAGCTGACACTACCCCAATACCATAAGGGGAGGCATCACATATCAGTAGCACATTTCGCTTGGGATCGTAGTGCGTCAACACCTTAGATTTCTCTAAAGGCTACATCTTGGCTACAAGACCATTTCCAAGCCTGACCCTTGTTCAATAGCAAATGTAAGGGGGCAAGGATGGAGGCCAGGTTACATATGAACTTTCCCTAATAATTCACCAACCCAAGGAAAGACCTAAACTCTGGTACGGACATGGGAGCTGGAGCACTTTTGATCACCCTCACTTTATCTACCAAAGGGTGTAACCTAGTCTAGTCAACTCTGTAGTCCAAGTAGATCACTTGGGGTGACTGGAACATGCACTTTCCCCTCCTAAGGTGTACGCCCGCCTGGGAGAAACTTCTAAGGACTATGTCCAAGTTCTCTACCTGCTCTCTATTGGTCTTCCCAGTTATTAGACGTCATCCAGATAAATGGCGACCTGAGGTAGACCTTATAAAACGTTTTCCATCGTTCACTAGAAAATGGTAGAGGCTGACGATCCTCCAAATGACAGTCTCGTATATTGGTACAAACCCTTTTATAGGTAATTAATTGTAGCACGCTGCTGGGAATCCTCATCTAACCACAATTACAGATACGCATGGCTCATGTCCAGCTTCGTGAAGGACAGCCTCCCCCAACCAGCTTTGTGTATAAATCCTCTTGTGTGAGGGATTGGGTATTTATCCAGCTGCGAGAAGCATTTAACCATTTGTTTAAAATCCCCACAAAAGTGAACTGAGCCGTTGGGTTCCACAATCAGTACGACCGGTGCTGCCCATTCCACAAACTGCACTGGTTTGATGTTTCCTTCGCTTTCCAGCCCCTGATTTCTGCCTCAGCTTTTACTCCGTAAGGCACTGGGTGGGCCTTGCAGAATCATGGGATTGCTTCCTGGTAAATGTGTAAGGTAGCCTTGGCCTCTTTGCTAGTCCTTAGACCTTCCTGAAAAACTTCCGGATATTTAATTAGGACTGCACTCAGGCAACCAATTTCTAATCATAAATGTTAAGCCAATCAAGGTGGATCTTTCTCAGCCAATTTTGCCCCATCAAGCTCAGGCCTGAGCCTTTTACTACAATCAGTGTAGTAAAACACTACAACTGCACCAACTGCTTCTCATAAGGAGACCAGAACGGGAGTTGGATCCTTAATCCGCAAAGGTTCCCTGGTATAGGTTCCCTGGTATAGGTTCTCAGGGTAGCCAAGGCCTTACACCAACTTAACGGTTGGAGTCCAGGGCGAATTTTGGTAAAGACTGGTTGTATGATCACTGATACAGCCATACTGTTATCAACCTCTGTTAGAGCTGGGTGACCATTTAACCAGATGTTTATCTGATTTGGATGTTGCTAAGCAATTTAACCATTCCAAGCCAGGTAGAAGTGAGCTTTCCAGGGTATGCAGCCTCCTGGATACCAGCCTATCAGTTCTCTTACTCAATTCAGGTCTAGTGGGACCCTTTTGCTGTCTCAGGTCTGCATACCGACAGCAACTACAATGGCTTGCCGGCGTGGACTTTCAGAAAATTTTAACCGTTTTGCCGAGGCTTGGTTTTGTTTTGGAGTTTTGCTGTGGGCTGACCTAGAGTCCCTCTGTTCAGGATATGTCCTGAGTGAGGCTACACAATAGTGGTGTTTCTCAAGCTCAGTCAGAGAGGTGAGGGTGTCCACTTCCATCGGTACACCCTGTAACTTGCTGCATTTTCCAATGATAAAGCCAGCTGTAGTGCCTGTTTGAATTCCAGTTGGGCTTCAGCTCATAGGTGCTTTCACATGGCTACATCATTAATCCCACATACCAAATGGTCTCTCAGCATCTCATTAAGGGTTAAACCAAAGTCACATGTCTCTGCCAGTCCTCTTAATCTAGTCAAAAATTCCGATATGGATTCCCCTGGTTCTCGAACTGTTAAAACTAGTAGTGTCTCAGAATTAGAGGAGGCTTGGGGTCGTAATATTCCTTGATTAAAATCCATCAACTCTGGAAAGGTTTTAGTATCTGGTGCCTCAGGAAAAGTCAGGCTCCTAATAACCGAAAAAGCTGCGGGTCCACGAGCCATCAGGAGAATTACTTGTTTTTCATCTGTCCTAATGTGATTTGCCTGGAAAAAATAAGAGATTCTTTCCACATACTGGACACAGTCTTTGATGGCAGTGTCGAACGAGTCAAGCTTCCGAAATAATGGCATGTTGCCAGAAATGTTTAATCCAACTCAAAGACGACTGTTGGGAGCAAATTTTTTCAGGAGCGTGCTTTTCTCTCGTCACCACTGAAATAGCTCCACATAGGTGGGTATCCCATCACTAAGTCACCCTTTATTTATATGTGGAGAGTCTTTGACACTGATCCAGCTCCCACAGTGAATAGAACCTCTGACCCTCCTGTTTCTATCTGTCAGCCAGGGCTCCCTGATTGGACCAGGTTAACAGTCTCAGTCAGGGAGCTCATATTCTATGAGGTCCACCCACTGACCTTGTTACAATCACTACACTTGAAGCTTGAGTTCAGTATAAATGGGGACAACATTAACCATCATCATCATTAAAAACTCTAATGCCCCTTAGGGAATCTGCTATCCTTACCAGAGCCTGACTTACATGATTACTCCACCCCTCAGCAATATGGGTGACTCTTCACTGTCCTCTGGTGGGCAATTAGAGGTGAGCAACAAATATTGGTCAAGCCTAATCAAAGCAGCAGCAGACCATAATGGTGGACTGGGAGAGAGAGCTATTTGAAATAGTTTTATCTTTCTCCCCTTCTGTGCAGAAGCTGTGTATTGGTTTTCACGGGAGGTGCACTTTCTCCTTTCGGTGCTAACCATGGCTCAGTGGTTAGTGGGTATTGCTGAATCAGAAGGTTATTTAAATCTTAGTCCATTGACCAGGCCACAGTGCAAAATGAAGGCTGGTTGGAGGCACAGGTTCAAGCCCCACCTGCTGTGCAAGTGTGGAGTAACATCTCTGGACAGATTGATTGGAGAAATAAATATTGCAGGCTGAGACTCCAATGTCATTGTCCAAAGTGCTGTCTTCCTTTTAAAGACAGAAAATCCACAAGCATTCCAGAAAAAAAAACTGCAAAATCATCCTCAACAGACTGGGTATGGCCATGAAGGGATGACTAGAAAACGTCTCCCCTGCCAAAGGTGCTGAAGTCTTAAATGGCCAGTGTTCTAGAGGAAGACAAAGGAATAGATTATTGGGATGAGAATCGATCTGTTCAGTCATGTGCAAACCCAAGGCAGAAACTTGCAACTCTCGGTAGATGTCATCCTTTGCCCTAGGAACATCCAATCAAAATTAAGACTGAAGTCCTGCCTGCTCCCTCAGCTGGATATCAAAGATCCCAATTCACCCTTCGAAGATGTCATGATGTGGAGGTGCCGGTGTTGGGCTGGGGTGGATGAGGTCAGAAGTCACACGACGCCAGGTTATCGTCCAACAGGTTTATTTGAAAACACAAGCTTTCGGAGCGCTGCTCCTTTGTTGGGTGACTTGGTTGTCCCCCGACAAGGGAGCAGCGCTTTGAAAGTTTGTGTTTTCAAATAAACCTGTTGGACTATAACCTGGTGTTGTGTGACTTCTGACCTCGTCCATCCTTTGAAGAAGAACATGGAATTCAGTCTAATGCCTTAACCCCTACTAGTCTGACAATGAAACTCCAATAATTTATCACTTTGCTGTGCGTGGGAACTGGCTACCCCATCTCCCACAATGTGAAGTATCAAATTTACTGAAAAATGCTTTGGGGTATCCTAAGGCCGTGTAAGCTGCAAGGCAAGTGAAATGTTTTCTTTCTCTCACAGCAGTCACAGAAGCCAACGTGAAGAGAGTTAAAAGATGTTCGATAACGTTACCTCTGTCTCTGAACCAAAATACAATTCACAGATTCCGTACTGTCCCTTCTGCATCCTGCACACCCGCACTGCCTCCAGGAAAGCTCGGACTTCAAAAGAATCCCTTCTGAAGAGCACTGTGAGGAAAATAGCACCATCAACTTGTGCAAATTGTCATCTACTTCTACTGCTACATATCACACAAACCCTGATCACAGTTCCCTCGACACAGGCCACTGTACTCTCAGCACAGGGACAGCACAGGGTTAGATACAGAGTAAAGCTCCCTCTACATTGTCCCCATCAAACACTCCCAGGACAGGAACAGCACAAGGTTAGATACAGAGTAAGGCTTCCTCTACACTGTCCCCATCAAACACTCCCAGGAGAGGGACAGCACAGAGTGAGATACACAGTAATGCTCCCTCCACACTGTTCCCATCAAACACTCCCAGGACGTGTCCCCAGTTGTCCCCATCACTGTGTTTGGGTAAATTGACATTTGTCCTGCTGCTGCTTGAATCTCCATTGATCGAGGTTTCTGAGGAGTTGAGGGAGGTGCCTTTCCCAACCTGTCACTGCGACCTGGATTTAAACCTGGACAGACCCTGAGGTGCCACTGAACCATGTGGCCCTTGTCATTGGGAGCAGGCTGTGGGTTCAATACACACTGGCTGAAGGATGCAAAGCCACAATGCTCACATGAGGGGAAATTAGAGTGAGAATGTGAGGGAGAAGGTCAGGGTACTACACTGACAGGGTGAGCTGGTCTAAAAAGGGAGGAAGCTTATGTATATCATAAATACTGGTACAGAGCAAATGGGCCAAATGGCCTGTTTCAGTTCTGGAAGCACAGCTACAATGTATTACCATGTTGGAATAATTCAGAACACCAAAACAAAGCTATTACATTGGCTATCGGAGCCTGGGACAGGCAATTCTGTAGACCCATTCATAGAATCCCTACAGCGTGGAAGCAGGTCATTAGGCCCATCGAGTCCACACTGACCCTCTGAACAGCATCCCACCCAGACTCACCCCCTACCCTATCCCTACATTTCCCATGGTTAATCCACCTAGCCTGCATATCTTCGGACTGTGGGAGGAAACTGGAGCTCCCGGTGAGGAAATGGGGAGAACATGCAAACTCCACACAGACAGTTGCCCAAGGGTGGGATCAAACCCAGGTTCCTGGCGCTGTGAGGCAGCAGTGTGAGCCCTGAGCCGCTCCGAGTCTGTTTTTTTTAAAATTTGACCCATTTTTCAAATCAAACTGTTCAGGGATGTTATTGCACACTTCTGGAGCAGGTGGAACTTGAATTTGGGCCTTGGTCCAGGCGTAGGGACTGCACCACAAGAGGGCCCTCCTGAGTCTACTTCCGAAAGGGCTCAGGTGATGAGTTCCAGTCAGGTAGGTCGTTGCCTGTGACCAAGTGAACTCATCGAGCGCCACAAAGGAGATTAGTAAGTGATTCCCCGTGGGCTTTGTCAGGCACATGACACAAATGATGCAGTGTAAAACACAGCTTCAGGGTAAGGAGTTGGAGAAGTGTCAGACATCGCGAAGTTTTGTACCAGTGTTGAGGTGGCGGATTCCATCAGCGAGGAGCGTGCTCCAGTTGTGAAGGTCGTCTGCAGTGTGGAAGCAGAGAACAAGGTGCGGGCGATAGGGGTGCCACAGGAATAGAGGGTGATCTGTCGGGCAGTTTGTGTACTGTTCCTTCCAGCAAGTATCTGCGGTACCTGAAGAGGCAAAGAAAGAAAGGTCTGCATTTAGATAGTGCCTCTTGTGACTTCAGGGCACCCCTGAAGCTCCTTTTCAGCGTTTGCGAGTTAGAGGGCAGCTCTGGAGCAGTCCGTACTAGTGGATGAGGGTTTATTTTCACCCAGCCTGGATCGGTTAGATTTTAATGACCGTCCCAGCAAAATGCTACAGATGCCTGAAGACTGCACTCGAAGCTGGAGGCATTTCGAATACCCAGCAGATCAGGGGCATAGAGAAATGCAGTGAGTTAACTGGCCAGGTTCTCTTGGAATGTCACCAACCTGAAACTTTAACACCACTTTTCTAATCACCAACGTTGCCAGGTCTACTAAGGATTTGCTGTTTAAGAACTTAGAACTTAGAACAGTGCAGCACAGTACAGGCCCTTTGGCCCACAATGTTGTACTGACCTATTATCCTACTCTAAGATCAAGCTACCCTGCATACTCTACATTTTACTATCATCCATGTGCCTATCCAAAAGTCGCTTAAATGTCCCTAAAGTATCTGACTCCACTACCGCTGCCGGCAGTGCATTCCACACACCCACCACTCTCTGTGTGAAGAACCTACCTCTGACAGCACCCCTATACCTTCCTCCAATCACCTTAAAATTATGTCCCCTCATAATAGTCATTTCCACCCTGGGAAAAAGTCTCTGACTATCCACTCTATCTGTGCCTCTCATCATCTTGTACACTCTATCAAGTCACCTCTCATCCTTCTTCACTCCAATGAGAAAAGCCCTAGCTCCCTCAACCTTTCCTCATAAGACCTGCCCTCCAGTCCAGGCAGCATTCTGGTAAATCTGCTCTGCACCCTCCCTAAAGCTTCCACATCTTTCCTATAATGAGGTGACCAGAACTGAACACAATATTTCAAGTGTGATCTAACCAGAGTTTTATAGAGCTGCAGCATAACCTCACGGCTCTTAAACTCAATTCCCCTGCCAATGAAAGCGAACACACCCTGCCTTCTTAACAACCCTATCAACTTGGGTAGCAGCTTTGAGGGATCTATGGACGTGGACCCCTAGATCTCTCTGTTCCTCCACACTGCCAAGAATCCTGCAGTTAACCCTGTATTCTGCATTCAAATTCAACCTTCCAAAATGAATCACTTCACACTTTTCCAGGTTGAATTCCATCTGCTCCTTCTTTGTACAGCTCTGCATCCTGTCAATGTCCTGTTGCAACCTACAACAGCCCCCCACGCTGTCCACAACTCCACCAACCTTCGTGTCATCGGCAAACTTATTAACCCACCCTTCCACTTCCTCATCCAAGTCATTTATAAAGATCACAAACAGAAGAGGTCCCAGAACAGATCCCTGCTGAACACCACTGGTCACCGAGCTTCAGGCTGAATACTTCCCATCTACTACCACTCTCTGTCTTCTATTGGGCAGCCAATTCTGTATCCAGACAGCCAAATTTCCCTGGATCCCATGCCTCTTTACTTTTTGAATGAGCCTACCATGTGGAACCTTATCAAATGCCTTGCTGAAATCCATATACACCACATCCACTGCTCTACCTTCATCAATGTGCTTTGTCATATCCTCAAAGAATTCAATAAGGCTTGTGAGGCATGACCTGCCCCTCACAAAGCCATGCTGACTATTTCTAATCAAACTGTGCTTTTCTAAATAATCATAAACACTATCTCTCAGAATCCTCTCCAATAATTTGCCCACCACAGAGGTAAGACTGACCGGTCTGTAATTCCCAGGATTATCCCTATTCCCTTTCTTGAACAAGGGAATAACATCTGCCACCCTCCAATCTTCTGGTACTACTCCAGTGGACAATGAGGATGCAAAGATCATTGCCAAAGGGGCAGCAATCTCTTCCCTCGCGTCCTGTAGTAACCTTAGGTATATCCCGTCTGGCCCAGTGGACTTATCTAACCTCATGTTTTTCAAAATTTCTAGCACATCTTCCTTCCTAACAACAACCTGGTCGAGCATATTAATTTTTTAATTTCCACCCCATTGTTTGGGACTGGAATTCCAACCTTCAGACTGTAAGGGTGTGATTTAAACTGGTGACTGAGGTAGTAACATAGCCACTGCATTTCTGACAGTCATTGCTGCTGGCTAAGTGTCTTATATATTCGCAAACACTGGGACCAGGCCCCTACACAGACTGCAGTACCTACTCTTGGCTTGTCCCCTCTAGTTGTGAGGAACACAGAGCATATAGGGCCCCTACACTGAGGACCATACAGTATGAACCGCAACTTATAATCACAGCTCCAATACATTTGCAAAGAAATATTCGTGGGATGTTGGTCTGATCTCTAATTGACCTTGAGGAGGGGCTGGAGTTTCCTTCTTAGAATCCCTACAGTGTGGAAGCAGGCCATTCGACCCATCAAGTCCACACAGACCCTCTGAAGAACATCTCGTCCAGATCCAGCCCCCACCTCATTCCTGTAACCATGCATTTCTCATGACCAGTCCACCTAACCTGCACATCTTTGGACTGTGGGAGGAAACTGAGCAAAAGATCCTGGGATGGACAATGAGTGGGCTCCACATTCTGACAGTGATGAAAGGACTGAGTTGGGAGGGTGTGACCAGCTCTGCGACCCACACCAGCCATTGTGCCCCCTCACCATTGAAGTGTGGCCAGGTTCGATGGAGCATTTCAGTATATTCTGTCACTGAGGTCAGCACCACAAACCCTGAGAGCAGCACGGTGCCTTCTGGTTTTAGTCCTTTCTGTTCAGCCTGGAATGTATTGCAACAGAGTGCTGGTTAAAAAAAATTAACACCCTTCCAACAAAGCAACAGTACTCCCACGCAACGCTCTGTCACAGGCACTCAATATCCATACTCTCGTCAACATCCCAGACACACAGCCCCCCTCCAATCCCAGGCACACACCCCCCTTCCATTCCCAGGCACACACCCACCTTCCATTCCCAGGCACACAGCCCCCCTCCATTCCCAGACATACAGCCCCCCTCCATTCCCAGACATACAGACCCCTCCATTCCCAGACACACAGACCCACTCCATTCCCAGACATACAGCCCCCCTCCATTCCCAGGCACACAGCCCCCTCCATTCTCAGATACACAGCCCCCCACCATTCCCAGACCCACACCCCCACTCCATTCCCAGACAGACCCTCTCAAATATCCCAGGCACAAACTCTTCCACCATTCCCAGACCCACACACCCCCTCTGCTCCCAGACCCACACCTCCCCACCATTCCCAGACCCACACTCCCCCACCGTTCCCAGACTCACACTCCCCGCACCGTTCCCAGACACAAACTCCCCCCACCGTTCCCAGACACGTTCCTGCACTGCAGACAGAAATGACCCCCCCTCCCCCGCGGAAAGACACGCCTGGTTACCAGGACGATTATTAAAATAAAGACTCAGAGTGCATGAATAAAGTTCCCCACCTCTTTCGTTTCAAAATACTCCAAGTGGTAGCTGGCCTTCATCACAAAATATCTCTGTTTCCACTTCCTCCTGTTGTCCACGTGTTGCAGCATGTGGCCCTGAGCTATCACCTCCTCACTGTCCCTGCATTCCTGACAAGACAAAGCAGTGACTGAGGAGCTGGAGGGCTTCCAATGGAGGGGAAATCA